AGAATAAAATAAAAAAATTCCAATATTTTAATAATATAATAGTCCTATAATAAATATATTAAATTATTTATAATATGCTTATAATATTAATAAGTTTCTTAAAAGAGAGTTAACAGAGCTTACTAAGACTTTTATTATACGTTAGATATATGATGTTTATATTTTTAAAAAATCAAGGTTTCTGTAAAGTATTTGTTTTCTTTGAGAGATTAATCACCAGGAAGATTTTATTGAACAACTCAATTTCTTGTAAATCTGTGTTTGGATTTCTTCAGTTTATTCTTTTTAATTTCCTCGAAAGATAATAAGAGAGGAAACAAATATTACGTAATATTTTTTACTATCATCGGGAAAATTTTTTCTATTCAGTTTTGCAATATTCTGTGAAAACACAGATTTTTACAGCATCGGAAAAAATTTTTAGTGCAATTCTGCAAAAATTTTTAAAAAAACAAAATTTTGCAAATTTTTCATATAATATAAATTTTCCCGATGATAATCTCTACCCCTTCACACACATAAGAGAAATTTAATTGGCTAGTTTATAAATTTGTTCTAAACATAAGATATCCAAGACCACCTCCCTGTCACTGCCCTAACTGTTCTTTTTCATATTTTTGAAATCTATATATTAGCTCTAAAAACTCATTTGTATTAAGTTTATCACTATAAAAAAGCTGTTTTAAAAATTCTTCCCCGTCTTTAAATACAGGAATGGATTGCTTCCTACAAGTCTTCAAGGTCTGTTCCCATATTTTTATGTTATCAGAAATGGCATTCGGGTTTAATATATTATTGATAAATTGAATTCGGCCTAATAAATGAAACAATTCTATCGCTTCTAGTGAACTTTCTTCTCTGAACATTATTAATAGGAAAAACAATGCCTGTTTATGTGATGAAAAGGTTTGTTCTTTGAATTGATTGATAGAGCTCCTCCATATATCATTTATGATATTTATATTATCTTTGTTAGCCGTATATTTATTATTAATATTTAGAAGTCTCCTAAGTAAATAGTACACCTCAATTTCATTTAATAAATTGTCTTTACAAAAGGTTTCAGTTAAAAAATTATGTATTTCACTTGTCTTTGAAAATATCATTTCTTCTATTTTCTGTTCTAAATTTTGTTGATCTACTGGCGGCTCATTATTCAATTATTAAGCATTATTAGCCACTTTTTCTTTAAATAAGTTTTATAAAATTTTTTAAAGTCAGTTGTTTCTATTTGGATAAATAATCCAT